GGACGTTTTTGCCCATTCTTCTTTGCCAGTTCACTCAGATAGAGATCAACTGAGATAAACAGTTTTCAAGTGTCATCTGAACAGAGCTCCTTCTTTGACTGCAGCAACGCCATCACTCATGCTCCTTCCTAATGCGCTCCTTAGGTCTCAGTTAAGGTGTTTAGCCACTGGTTAACAGCTTTGCAGTTGTGTCAGATTATTTCCATTTTATAGTGAGATGCTCGACTTTATCCCAAACCTGTCTGCTGAGATCCTTGAGCTTTAAGACGTTCTTTGTTCTCTAACAAACCCTCTGAGGCCTTCAAAGGACAGACGTATTTATAGTGAGTTTGAATAACACGCAGGTGGACTATTTCTGCTGGACTGGATTTTATTCAACAGATTAAATGAGGTTGAGAACAAAAAAAAAAAAACAACAGTGTTAAGCACTTTGTTTAAAACATGAAGTTGAAAACTAGGCGTTATATTCCATATGCACAACTTTTGTGTTGCTCTGTCACAGCATTATTGAAATCTGTGGTTGCAATGTCAAATTATCGAAAACTTTAAAAAGTATATATAGTTCAGCAACACACTGCATTACTTCCTTCTTTTTGGCTTCATAATAAGCAGCAAAATAAAAGCCATCAGTTGATTAGATTACCTCCTCAGTGTTGACAAGGTGTGCAGAAGCTTGTTAATGACGCAGGTGTGTGAAAACATGTCATAAACTAAATCATGCAGAACATTAGGACCTGAACACTGGGGATAAGGATTGCTTGTGCAACCGTCAATTCTGCAGCAGAAGCTAATGAGCAGCAATCAGCTCAACGCTTCAGATAATGTTTGAACTCATGTCAACATCTTGGGTGTTTTGAGTGTTTTCGGAAACACAGCGAGTAAGAAAAACAAAAAAAAAATCTATATTTGACTGTTACATTAAGGGACTGGAACAGAGAGGCAGCATGTGTTTGCATGTCTGTTACAGAAGTGGGCCAGGAGAAACAACCCACAACGGGCCCCCTCAGCTGTGTCGGCAAACAGGAAACTGGAGTTCAGTCTCAGTTTCACGTAGCTCCATCTGTTTCTTTTGCTCTCGCACACAGTTTTCTCCCTGCTCCCTCAGATCAACCTGAGCCCCCACGTTTCAGCATTCACCTTCTCTTTGCTTCGCACCAAACAGCAAAAAAAAAAAATATAATAATTTCAACCTTTTCCTTGCAGCCCTCCCTTTCTTCTGCTCCCAGGGTGGGCCTCTCTGCCAGACCAGACAGGAGATGGAAGCAGTTACATTATTAAGATGCTTCGGGTGCTGCTGGAAACCTCCAGAGGACGGATGCATGTTTATTCATCCCCCACACTTTCCTCATTGTCCTAATTAGCTCCCAGTCTACCCTAAATTACTATCACAAACAATCTATATTTTTAAGTTGCTAGTCCAAAATATAATTCACCTTCAAGAAATCTGTTAATGTTTTTTTCTAAATATCGTTAGTGCTGTGTTAACTGTAAGAACCGGGCTGAAGCTAACGATTACGTTAGTAAGCGAGTATTGGACGATTAATCAAGTAATCGAATAAAAAAATGGAACAGTCTGCAAATTTTTTATTTAATCACTTAAACGTTTTAGTAATAATTCAATTCCTTTTTTAAATAAGACAAATGAGTTGTCTAAAGGTTTTTAGGCAACATGTGAACAGCTCAGCCCTTTCTGTAATTGACTTGTTTTTTTTTTTTGATAAACTGGTAAGTAATTAGACAGCAAAAAAAATTAATTTTTTTTTTTAAGTAATTTGAAACGGGTGACGCTAAAACTATGCCAGATGAGGAGTTCTGGCATGTTTTTTTGTACAATTTTAGCTTAATTACTGTTTTGATGGTGTTGTTCTTACATCACATGTCATGTTTAAAGTATACTCCGGTTAATTATTCGATTACTAAATTAGTTAATTATTTCAATGATCGATTATCCAAAATTAATCCAATTAATTGTTTCAGCCCTTGTAACAAAGTAATGCAGAATATGGTCTTGCGTTACTGGCTTGATTCACCTTTCTGAAGCAGTTTAAGAAACTTCTTGAAATAAACTGTGGAAGAAATGCTGCAATTATTCCTGCATTGTAAGTTTCTTCTTAGACCGTATAGATCGGAGGGCATCATATAAACTACAGCGGACAGGAAAAAAATCCATACCGCTCCAGTCTTACAAATACCCTGATTAGTGGATGCAAGATAATTAGGGCAAGTATTCAAGTAAAACTAAATAAATAAATACAAAAATAAATAGTGTGAATATAAAATTCTTACTTGTTTTTTTTAAATATGGTCAATCATTAAAACCATTAATCATTTCCTTCCTCTCTCCGACATGAAAACAATTCTAATATTAGGCCATGACATGCTGTTGTGTTTCTCAATAGTTATTTACTAGAGAGAGGCTTTTCTTTGCTTAAAAGTTGTGATATAATGTAATAAAGGCACAAATAAGGTTTCTCCTAGTTACAAAAAAAGAGTTTTAACCACTGCAACAAACACTTATCTGAACGGTAGAAAATTTCAACATTCACAGCTAATTTTGCTGTATTAATGCCTTGCTGTCAACAACTGCCTGAAGGTCTAATCGAATTTTTCTCCCCCCCGTCTGTCCTGAAACAGAGACCGGCTCCAAACATGCTTGCTCAGCCCAATAAAAGGATTTTTTTTTTTTTTTTTTTTTTTTACAAACACTGGCCTGAGGAGACAAAAATAAATAGTGAAGCTTTAACAGAACCAGAGTTTAAAACCTGCAAGCTAAGCCCAGTCTTCTTCACAACGTCTTCTAAGGCAATTCCCTTTATGCATTTGTATTGTTTGTTATTTGATTTATTTTTTCTTTTATTCTGAGATTCTTTCTCACCTCCGTTCTCCTAGGTAAGCCTGTGGAGCCGACAGGGAGACCTGAGGAGGAGCTGCATCATCCCTACATCATCCACATTCAGCTCAGGCGGTTCCGACCACCCGGCTCCAGATATTTTCATTTTCAACTTTAAATGTTTCACCTTAATTCAGCTTCATGCTTTTTATTCTCACACAGAGATCAAACAGTGGCTCTCTGGGATTTTCAAAGCGCCTCTATCTAAGGAGACAAAAATACAATTTCTTATCCTTAAAGTAAGTTTGCTTCTTATTTACAAAGCAGAAAGCACAGTAGACTAAGCTTTTTATGTGTAAAAACAACAACATTTTGCTCTTAAAGAGTAACAAAACAGGTTTTTGAAACTTCAAACACTTACCTTTGGTTATCTGTTCTGTGGTCTGTAACAAAAGAGAAAAAAAATGAATGAAGATTTGACCTACGACACCAAAATACAAATATTTCAAAGAATTGGATTTATGCAAAGCAGAAAGGCAAGTGGGACGTTTACTGCCATGTTCACATTAAGTGTGATGGAAGCCTAGAGAAAAATAGAAAAAACACCCAGAATGCCAGGCGAACATATTCCAGAATATTTCTTTTTTTTTTCTTTATTCAGTATTAATATTACACTCAAACATACTGATGTGCTTCTTTAAAGAAAAAGTTAGCAAATTATAAAGAGTTTGTCCTTCATTTTATCAAAAGAAAATCCAGCCTCTTGATACAAGAGCTTTGTAAAAGCAATATGAAAAGAGGGTGAATATGTTTTATAGGCACTATAGTAATGCATGATGAGGGAAAATGTCTTTATATTACACTGCACTTAAAATGCAACTGTTGCAGGTTCTGTAGCTGTACTGAACACACCTGTGCGAACCCAAGACTTGAGCAATTGATGAATAAATGAAAAGAAACACACACTGCGTAACAAGAGATGTGATGCAAAACTTATATTTTACCCCCCAAAAGAGATGGTTTAAGTTCCATAATTAAACTATATTTCACAATTAAAAAAATATATTTAATTAAACTTAACTGATCCAAAACACCATAAATGAGTTTTGCGGAGAAATGTTTAATGAGTCGCTCCCTCTATCTACTGCTGATAAGGCAGTGGAGCTAAAATGGCCTGACCCTGCATTAAAACTGAGGTCTTACGAAGATGTTATAAAATCTTATAACATCAGATTTTATTAAACAATAAGTAGAAACAATTAAAGCTCGACTACATGAAGAGATTTTATGTTGGTACTGCTATTAAAACTCGTGCGCCACAACAGGAAGCTTTTCAGTCTGGGTTTTCAGACTTTTGATGGAGGAGTGTGCATGTTTGCGGCTCTCTCTGTGCACGGCGTGTTGGGTTATACGGTGACCCTGAGCTGACCTTAGGAGAGAGGCTGCGTGCATGCATGGATGTTTTTCTAAAACCCTGCAATGGCCTGGCGATCTGTCGAGGTTATACCCTGCCTTTCACCAGATGGGATAAGCCTCAGCTTCACTGAACGGGATTAAGTGAGCAGGAAAAAAAAGAAGAAGAAGAAAAAAAAAGCTGATGAATGAATAAATGTAGGGAAGAGACACAATTCAAAACAGAACTTGGACCGAATGCTCACCTTTTTCTGTGCAGCTTCTTTCTTTTTCTTCTCTTCTTGTTTTTTCTTTTTCTTATCTTCCATCAAATGTTTTTCTTCTTGTGTTTTTGCTTCTTTTCACAGCTAAAACATATAAAGACAAGGAAGGACAAAGCTTAATCTTAACCACCTGCAGCGTTGATAAGTTCTTCACAGGACACCAGAGAATACCAGGGCTGTGCCCGACTTCTTTCTCATATTTTAAAAACACATTTAAAATCGTTATTTCACTACCTCTGGTAATTAAGAGAACGTCAGAAGTTGATGACAGTCAACGACGCGAGCACAGCTTAAGACAGCTGTGCTTTTACAGCCAGGAAAGAGCCTCCAAGCTATTTTTGCGAGCTCGAAAATTCAGCAGTTCAAACTGGCTCTTGTTGTGAATGGCTGATGGAAGTTGTGGGTGGGCACCATTTCAAAAGGGGCACATCAGACTGGTCAACCCACGGCTGCCGACTGTCTCAACAAACACCGAGCCTGACAAGCGCACTCACTGGGTGAGAAGTTAACCTGCTCTGTGTTGGCTGCAGACTCAGCCAGTGAGGACTCAATTTGCACAGTATACTTTCTGCATGTTGTACAGACAAAAATAAAAAAAAATAAAAAAAGAAAGCGTCCACACCTCTGCCCAGAGACGTAAATAAAATGTTAAGTGCAGCCTTGCCAATGAAACAAAAATAGTTGCACAGATGTCATATTTTGAGCTGCATATTTAATTAGGTGGTTGCACTGTTGAGCCTCAGCGTGTCGAGTTCACGTAGCGACATCGTCCTCTTCCTATTCTCCAAGGTAAAATTGGAAGGTCTAATTTGAATGCACCACTGGAGCTGATTTTTCATTTCCAAAGCAATTTCATGTAAACTGTGCTTGTATGCAGAATTTACTTTGTTTTTCAAGGACAGATAGTGGAAAGCTATGCAGCCAACAGCGTGCTCCTAGCCTTCATTTTACATTCATTCTGAGTTATCTACAGAAACAACTCATAACACCATTTGGGGTTATTGACATTAGTCAACATTGCTGCTTGTACTGAAAATGACCTCAATAAGCAGCTCTAAAGATGAAAGTGTTACACTGCTGATTCACACTGAAATATATCCAGAGCTTTAAGTCATTTCCAGTCCAGAGTCTACATCACAAAATGGACAAGTAAGAATTTTTCATACATTTTTTTTAAACATTTAATTTAATAAACAAAATAAAATTTTAGTTTTGTCTTTCTTTTTCTACCTCTAACCCTAAAATGTGACATTGTTGGAGAAACCAGTCTGTTCTACCAAGACCACACTACTGCAGGCGATGGTGACGTGTGCCACTGCCTGGCAACAGGCGCTCCCAGAGGTCCCAGTGAGCAGTCAGGTGGAGACAGACAGCGCCCTTCAGCGTGGCGCTGAAGTCAGTTTCATCCAATCGTGGAACTGGCCAAAGTAAAACAGGTTCAGCTGTTTTACTTAAGTTTGGCTTTGAGGGAACTTTAGAATCCTCACAAAACTGTATTTTGTATAAACACAAAAACTAACAATCAGTTTCCAGATCAGCCTTTCCAGAAAATTATTCAATATCCCTTTAGGATCAATGAATGAAGTATTTTTGAATTTGAAATGTTGACCAATTCTGGGAATGCATTTACGTAAATGAATGAAATCAACATCTAACCAATTTTGTTGCAATATTGAGACATAGGTTAGTCTTAGGGTCAGGTTTCTATTCAACATGTTACCATACATGTTAGCAATATGAAGGAGGTAATCGCATAAAATATCATCAAATGAACTTTAACTACCGCTAAAATATAAGCGGTAGTTATATTTTATACCATGACCATGGGGAAAAATTTAATTTCATATCCATGCACTTTTGCTGCTTATTGGGAATAAAACACCTAAAGCGCTGAAGTGGCAACCAAACAACAACAACAGGTTTGGTGTTAATAAAGGGTTTAGATAAATTTAGATTACATTTTGATCCCAAACTTCCTCCATTTGATATCTGCAAACAAAATATGTTTGCCATTTTAGTTTGGAATGTTTGCCTCATCTGCAATTGCAGCCAATAATATGGAAATGTCCCCCGTGCTTAACTCTGAACTCTGATCAGGTAGCTGTGGATAAGCTTTTATTTACCACTCAGTTATGTTTTATTTTTTTACAACCCAAACAAATAAAGAAATACAGAAGCAAGACAGAGAACAACCTGTCAGGTAGCGGTATCAGACAAAATGAGAAAAAAAAAAAAACAATAGTTTTTTGAGGTGAAATCAAGTTAAAATCAAGATGAAAAATTTATTTACCAAAAAAAAAAAAAAAAGCTTAAAAATTACTTGAAGACACAGGTACGTTGGTGGTATTAACATGTTATCCCAAAAACTGCATTATTAATTTTGTTGCCACTTATGCAGAAGAGAGCTGTTACTCATACCCATCAACAGTTTTTTTGTTTTTTAAAGCTGCAACAGGCTGATTTAGAACCTACAGCTGCAATACTAAATATAGCCGCCGTTGCATCAGTGAGGTTTTTGTCATGTAGGCAATAAGTGAGATGCTCCAGTTAATGTGAGCTGCTGTCCTCCGCTGACCTGGGAGGTCGGTCAAAATGGTTGCAGTTAAAGAAACTTTTGCTCCTCCAGCTAAACTAAACGGTTAAATAATTAAATCGTAAACATGTGCATCAACGGAACAAGTGAGCATATTTAGAGCTTTACTGATCGCCATACAGTCATGCAGTACATTTTCTACCTTTTGCCAAGTTACAAAGACAAACCTATGGATGATTTTCAATATATTTATTTTTTTTTTTTTTTACAAATAAACATATGGTTGTACCATTTTTGTTTTGAATTCTGCAGCTTTTTGATAAACATAACCGGACTCAATTGTCGTTTATATCAACTATAACAACTTTAGAGTATATTTTGATTGATAAGTTTCAGACATATTTGTTTTTTGAAAATAATTTTAAAAAATGTTGAGTAAAAAGACAAACATTTGTCCTAACAACTCAATAACACTTAAGCAAAAAGGAAAACAATGCCACGGATTTGAACTCATACGCAGCAGCAGACTAATAGACTATGCATTATGATGTTTTAATGTGGAAGCGCTTTCCATGCGAATTTAAAGGTCAAAGGCCAACGAACTGAGGTCTGCTGTGGAATTACACTCTCCTGTCAGACCATTGGGATTACAGCTGGGTGTCCCCCCCGTTAAACTAGACACTCACTGTGATGACAAAGGATGGACACAAAAAGGACGGGAACAATAACCGAGGAGAGATCAAGGTGAGTCAATTACAGCCAGAGCATAAAATTGCTTTAAAAAAAAAATATTAAGTGGAAGCGGAGAGTAAACGTGTGAACAAGTAAATGCCTCGCCGCTGTGCACTTGAGCAATAAAGATGAGGGGGGTCGACGGACAATGAAGCTAGTTAGTGTGGACGCGAGAGAGAGATTGGGGAGGGGGAGGAGGGGTGGCAGACCGTAGACGACAGCAGCTGGGCACAGAGCCAGGAATGCCATCGCATGCCTTGCCAACGACGACAGCAACAGCCGCTGCAGCTTTCGGAGATCATGCGAAGCGTCGTCCTCTGCTCGTCTGCACTTCTGGGGACAGGAAAGCTCTTTCAACTTTCGGGTTTTCGCATGTAAAACCTCAGACGCATAATGGAAAAAGGGCAAATGTGCTGCACGTGCCTTTATGTTGCATGAAGGTTTAGAAGGAGGGGGGAAATAAATAAAATAAAATACTGCATGGTAAGCACTGACAAAGTCCCAGGGCTCTGCAAAGAGGATTGCACTCTATAAACTACTTGGAGCTATTCTCAGAGTGGTCATCGTAATGCGATCTAACTCAGCCTAATGGCGTAGAAAAGGTGAAATGTAGGCATCAGTGTTGGCGGTTCTATGAAAATGCACTTAAATAATTTGCATACATCCACTACAAAAACCGAACCTCAAGCAGCTGAAGAAAAAAAAAACAAAAACATTAGATGACACAACGGCTTAAAGAATAACAGATAGAAACATAATCATCGAAAACACCTCGAACAATATTGCACCAATGTCACAATAAGCAAAGATATCCAGTAACAGAGCAGTAGCACTGCACCGCTGTTGGTGGTTAGTAAAAGAAAAAGTTCTGGATTCAATAATGTCCTGACTGAGTTTCATATTCTTGCATTCACAGGATTTATCCAATGGATCCAATTTTGTCTCATAGTCAAAACCCATTCATGTTAGTTCAACTGTTAGGTGAAAAATCGGTGCTTGTATTGAGTTTGTACTGAATTTCTAGTTAGTAATTCCTTACATTGTGTCAGACTTCACATATTTGGCCCTATTTTGTGTCTCACTGTATTTACAATGAGTGCTTGGATTGTGATCAGATCTATGTTATTTGCATCTGTTAAAATCAAAACTGGATTATTATCAGACATAAATAACGGACAGACACAGATGTAAACTCCAAACAAAACAAAACTGTTGTGGAACATGTTCATACAACCTACAGGTTTGCAAGGTTTGCGTTTTCTTCTACAACTGTCGAGTTTGGCAAGTAAAATAAAGTTGCAATTTAGAACAGAGACTCAAACTGGACCTAAACCAGGCTCTTTTTGGATCCATACTGCTCCAACATTCTTGAACACTGACATTATCAAAGACCAAAAATGTTGAGTTTTGGGACGTCAAGTTTCACACTTAAACGTGGATGGATGGAAACATTTAGGCAGCAGGAGAGGAGATCAATTCTGAAAACACAGATCTATCCAAATACCAAAAAAAATACGTCATACGTTTCCAGACTAAGTAAAAAAACATCCATAGTAACATTCTTCATGTAAAAGAACTTGCAAATCACTGATTTGATGTCCGACATGTAAACACACAAAGAAGCTAATCCCTGTTTGTACTGGTAGTGACACAAGCACTGGAAATGATAACAAATAAACTGCCTTTTTAGCAAATCAATGAGCAATAACTACAAATAGCATCTGGGTATTTCTTCAAGCTTTAAACTTGAGGGTTCTCA